CAAGATGTTGATGCAAGACTATTTCGCGAAAATCCAACCTATCCACCGCACCTCTTCCGGAGAAGGTACCGAATGCGTCGATCCCTCTTTGTGAGAATTGTTCAAGCTTGCAAGGCCAATTGTCGGTATTTTACTCAATGAAAAAATGTTGCGGGCTTGAAGGGATTTAGTGCATATCAAAAAATCTCGGCAGCTATGCGGGTGATTGCGTATGGCGTTCAGGCTGATTATGCCAATGAGTATCTTCACATTGGTGAAGATACAACAATTGAGTCGGTGCGTAGATTTGCCGAAGTGATCGTCCGTGTCTTTGGTCCTGAATATCTTCGGGCACCGAACGAGGATGACACAAAAAAAAATGATGACATCTAATGAAAGGAGAGGTTGGCCTGGCATGCTAGGTAGCATTGATTGTATGCAGCGGACATGGAAAAATTGACCAAAGGCATGGCAGGGAATGTATTGTGGCAAGTCTCGTGATGCAACAATTATGCTAGAGGCCATAACATCTGAGTATTTATGGATTTGGCATTACTTCTTTGGTATGCCGGGCACTTTCAATGATATCAATGTGTTGCAACGGTCTAATTTGTTTGCTAGGCTTGCTAGTGGTGATGCTCCTGCCTGCAACTACACTATCAATGGGCATGAATACACAAAAAGGTACTATCTTGCAGATGGTATATATCCTCCTTGATGCACATTTGTCAAGAGCATCAAAGAACCCAAAACTAAAAAAACAATGTGAGTTCCCAAGAGTGCAAGAGGCAGCCCGAAAAGACATTGAAAAATCATTCAGAGTTTTGCAATCTAGGTTTGCCATTGTTCGTGGTCCTGCTCCGTTTTGGGACATGCAGACCTTGAAGAACATCATGACATGCTGTGTTATTCTTCACAACATGATTCTCGAAGATGAGAGAGGCACGAACTTGGAATTCTTCTACGACAATGTGGGCAGCCGTGTCAAACCAACTAAAGACCCTAACCGCATTAGACCTTTTCTTCAAACATACAAGGGGATTGAAAATGCAAACACCCACTTTCAGCTTCAGGAGGGTCTCATTGAGCACCATTGGCACATGGCTGGACAGTAACAAACTCATTTTCCATTCATTTGTATTTGTATTTGTATTCGGGACAAGTTTTGCATTGCATTATTTATATTTGTATTCAGTGATTTGAATAATTATTTGTAATATGGATGATTGTTGTATTGTGTTGGTATTGATAATTATGGAATGGTATGTTGGAAATATGCCCTGGAGGCAATAATAAAATGGTTATTATTATATTTCCTTGTCTATGATAATTGTTTATTATCCATGCTAGAATTGTATTGATAGGAAACTCAGATACATGTGTGGATACATAGACAACACCATGTCCCTAGTAAGCCTCTAGTTGACTAGCTCGTTGATCAATAGATGGTTATGGTTTCCTGACCATGGACATCGGATGTCGTTGATAACGGAATCCAATCATTAGGAGAATGATGTGATGGACAAGACCCAATCCTAAGCCTAGCACAAGATCGTGTAGTTCGTATGCTAAAGCTTTTCTAAATGTCAAGTATCTTTTCCTTAGACCATGAGATTGTGCAACTTCCGGATACCGTAGGAATGCTTTGGGTGTACCAAACGTCACAACGTAACTGGGTGGCTATAAAGGTGCACTACAGGTATCTCCGAAAGTGTCTGTTGGGTTGGCACGAATCGAGACTGAGATTTGTCACTCCGTGTGACGGAGAGGTATCTCTGGGCCCACTCAGTAGGACATCATCATAATGTGCACAATGTGATCAAGGAGTTGATCACGGGATGATGTGTTACGGAACGAGTAAAGAGACTTGCCGGTAACGAGATTGAACAAGGTATCGGGATACCAACGATCGAATCTTGGGCAAGTACTATACCGCTAGACAAAGGGAATTCTATACAGGATTGATTAAATCCTTGACATCGTGGTTCATCCAATGAGATCATCGTGGAACATGTGGGAGCCAACATGGGTATCCAGATCCCGCTGTTGGTTATTGGCCGGAGAGTTGTCTCGGTCATGTCTGCATGGTTCCCGAACCCGTAGGGTCTACACATTTAAGGTTCGATGACGCTAGGGTTATAGGGAATAGATATACGTGGTTACCGAATATTGTTCGGAGTCCTGGATGAGATCCCGGACGTTACGAGGAGTTCCAGAATGGTCCAGAGGTAAAGATTTATATATGAAAGTCCTGTTTTGGTCACCGGAAAAGTTTCGGGTGCTATCGGTAATGTACCGGGACCATCGGGAGGGTCCCAGGGGTCCACCAGGTGGGGCCATCGGCCCCAGAGGGCTGTGTGGGCCAAGTGTGGGAGGGGACCAGCCCCAGGTGGGCTGGTGCACCCCCCCACCAGGGCCCAAGGCGCCTAGGGTTGAAAACCCTAGGGGGAGGAGGCGCCTCCACCTTGCTTGGGGGGCAAGGCACCCCTCCTGGCCGCCGCCCCTCCCCTCTAGATGGGATCTGGAGGGGGCCGGCCCCCTCTCCCCTTCCCCTGTAAATAGTGGGGGCTTTGGGGCTGCCAATGACAAGAGTTTTCACCTCTCCTGGCGCAGCCCTACCCCTCTCCCTCCTCGTCTCTCGCAGTGCTTGGCGAAGCCCTGCTGGAGTGCCACGCTCCTCCATCACCACCACGCCGTTGTGCTGCTGCTGGACGGAGTCTTCCCCAACCTCTCCCTCTCTCCTTGGTGGATCAAGGCATGGGATACGTCACCGAGCTGCACGTGTGTTGAATGCGGAGGTGCCGTCCGTTCGGCACTAGGATCTTCGGTGATTTGGATCACGACGAGTACGACTCCCTCAACCCCGTTCTCTTGAACGCTTCCGCTTAGCGATCTACAAGGGTATGTAGATGCACTTCCCTTCCCCTCGTTGCTAGATTACTCCGTAGATTGATCTTGGTGATGCGTAGAAAATTTTGAATTTCTGCTACGTTCCCCAACATGGTATTCATACTTTTGCGGACCGATGGAATGCGGGATGCAGCGTCGCAAGAGCAGACCCGTAAAAAAGTATATTCCGCTAATATCTTTTTATACGGGTTCGTTTGGGGATCTGCCTCTGCGGCCGTCCGTGCCGATCCGCAAAGACGTTTTTCTGCAAACTGCAAATGCGTTTTGTGGGGTCTGCTAGAGTTGCTCTAAGAGACGCAGCGCAGGGCATGGTGTGCGGCCACCAGATTGCATCTAGGGAAATTCACATCCAACAACGAGGAGACGATGGGGGCATTAGGTTAGAGGATGGGTGGGAATCAGAGGATTGGTGACTAGGAAGCAACGCTAGAATTACAGGTAGATGTATTAAAAAAATCTTTGATTAGTACCCACGAACTCAGGGGAGATGATGGGCGGCGTTAGGTTAGAGGATGTGGGAATACGGTAGCAATGCAAGAAATTTAGATTAGATCTGAACTACTATAAAGGACCGGGTAAATCAACTATTTCTATTGTTTTATATTTGTATGATTAATATGAGTTAATCTACACCACTATAACTCGGACCTACGGATGAGCGGCTCGAGTCTCTCTTTCTCTCTCTCTCTCTCTCTATATATATATATATATATATATATATATATATATATATATAACGTGGTAATTTCTATCTATACTTACATTAATTAGAGACTCCTTAAAAATTACCATGATAATCAGTAAATACGAGCCGCTCATCCGGTGAATCCTAGCATGGGAACAGAAGTGTCGCAACCGTAGCGTAGTGGGCATGCCGGAGTAGTCGGTTGCTTTGACTTGTGGTGGATATAGATATAGATATAGATATAGATATAGATAGAACTATAGATTTTGAAAATGCATTATTTTATATGGCCGCCCAACGCAGGCCACACCACCGATCCACCACAAGTCAAAGCAACCGACTACTCCAGCATGCTCACTATGCTACGGTTGCGGCACCTCTGTTCCCATGCTAGGATCCACATCCTCCATTTTCTAGAAATGCCCGCCAAAATCCAGAAATTCATTTTGGCTCTCGGGAGCACATTTCAAAAGTAATTTTTCAAATGTCAAAAAAAATCTAGAAATTTTTTGTGTGTGATCTTAGTCACATCCAAATGCTACCTGCAAATTTGGAGGCCAAATGGTTAAACATTTTTGCTTGTGCAAAAAACAAAAACAAAGCGAAGAACAAATGTCAACTCAATTTTGTTTTTTTACCGACGAAACACCGCTGCTCCTTTTTGCATGAAATTTGTCGAGCATGCTTGCAACACTAACATGAACGTCTATTAAAATTTTCAGATTTTTTAAATTTGTTTTACATTTTTTTGAATTTGTTGTTCATCCGGGAGCATATGCTCCCGGGAGCCAAAACGCCCCTCCGGCCAAAATCACGCTAGTACAATATTGGAACATGTTTTATCTTTCTTTCAAAAAGCAGTCCAGGAACAATAAATTCAAAGTTGATGCAAGACAATGTGGTCAAAGTCATTAACAAGCGGAATACAAAACAGAGACAACTACCACATAACCATTACAAGATAATTTATTTTTTGTGAAAAAACAAGATATGAATTTAACACCTATGATTAAGACAAAATCTTCCGCAACAAATAGACAACATGAAGTAGCATTTGATCTTCAGTTCTTTTTTATGGAGCACTTTAAGTAAACAAGGTGATTAATCTGGCCATTAAGATTCTTACATATGTTACATTTTACTGGTATGGCCAGGACTGATGAGTCATACAGGGGAATGTACCCACTGAAAGAAAAAAAAAGAAAGAAAAAATTGGTGAGGGGCAGCTTAACTTGCAGATGCAGTGCCTCCCAAACCCATGCAACAAAGGTAAACTAAAAGCGGGAACTAGATATAGGCGAGGGTTATTACATGCATGGAATACGATATAACCAAATTAGCTAACAAACTACTTAATTGAACATGCTGAAGCTTCTTGATAAATCAGTGCCAGCAGCAGCCGCTGATGTGGCAGTCTGTGACTGTGCTACACTCTTGCGCGCATCGCTGACGATGACGACGATGATGATCGCCGGCGCTTCCACTGCACCAAGCGGTGAAGGAACTCCATAACCTGACGGAAACAAGGAGAAATTAATACTATGTAAGTTAAATCACCGATGACTAGACTAAGACTAGACTAAGCAGGGATCTGCATCATGATATATGTATGTATATACACCTCAGTGGGGTCCTGAAGAGAGTAGGAGGCGTCGGTCTCCCTAGGGCACTTGGAGACAAGGATGCCCAGGCCATGACCTCTCTTTCTCAGCATCTAGTTGACATCAACAAAATCAAAAGATAAACAAGCAGCCAAAACAAATGAAATCACTAGGTTCGTAGCTAGTATGCATATATATGTACAAAACTAGAAATGAAATCAGTTGGACGCGACGTGTGTTAATTTAATCTGTGCACCTTGAAAGCATCCTCGTCAGTGCGGTCGTCCCCGAGGTACAGCGGCAGGACGTCGCTGCGTCCGTCGAATCCTAGAGACGACAGCAGCAGATTTTATATGCAACCCGTCATTTTATCCGACGAGGACGAAGACGACGCAGCAGGCAGGGTGGCGGTGGCACTTACCCAGAGATTGGAGCAAGAACTCCACGGCCTTGCCCTTGTCCCACATGATGGACGGCCGGATCTCCAGGACCTACGCCCAGTAGATTCAATATTCACAGGCTCAGTGAGCAAAATGTTAAATAACATGATTTATTAAGCGCTACTAGTAATTAACTCCATGATCGATCCATGGCCAATCAACCAACCTTTCTGCCTTCGTTGAGCCTGAGATCGGGGTAGTCCCGGAGCACCTCCTTGACTTGCTCGGCCAATGGACTCCATCTCTGCAGAGGGGATCGGAGCAGTTGAGATCGATGAGGATCTCTCTCATTAACTTAGAACCTTCTTGTTTGACTTGGATTGTTGCTGATTAATTTGATTGGTGAGCTCTCTGATTACCTTTTCATCTACGCATCGGAAGTGCACGGACAGGCAGAACTTGTTGTTCTCCACCCTGGCCCCCGGCGTGGTCTTGGTCTTCTCCACCAGAGCCTCGTAGACCTGGCACCCAAACCAAAAATAAAACGAAATTAGTACATGCGCCGTTGGTAAGTTCCTCATGGCTCAACTAACTAACAAAAGTCTCGTGTACCTCGGCGATGACCGGGAGGAACTCGCGAGCAGGTTGCAGGAGCACCTCCTCCGCCTGCAAATAGGGGGGAATAATTGATGGAATCAGGCACAAATGATTGGAGAGGAATGGGCCATGCATGGCGAGTTAGATTCTTGCGTGACGGGGAGATGCTGGAGAGAGATGGCTTACGTTGGAGCCTGGGCCCTTGATGTCCATGCCGTGGCTGCCCGCGTAGTAGAGCTCCGAGAGGCCCACGAAGTTGCACACCTTCTCCACGCACCGGCCGGTGACGATCGCCGCCGGGAAGTGCTGCGCAACGCCGCGCACCGCCTCCCGCATCTAGATCATTAAGGGCATGGTCGGCGATGTGAGCGTTGCTTGAAGTCGTTACTCGTTAGCTAGGCTGATTATCGCGGTCTCTTCTTACCTCGCCGCTGATGAACGCTGTGTCGGGGTCGGCGACGATGGGCGAGAGCGTGCCGTCGTAGTCCAGGAACACGACCACCTGCTTCCCCTTGGCGGCGGCCGCGATCTGCTCGAAGCTAGCCAGAGCCGACGGGTGCTTCCTCTGCACGCGCCAACCAAGAAAAAAGTAAACGTAAATCAATCATCAGTTCATCACAAATGGATGGAAAACATCAAACAGCCCGGCCGGCGCGCTCTCGCGGCAATGCGTGGGCACGCGCGCCTCGCCAAACCAGCCGGCAAACTCACAGTCCACGCGGCGTACTCGTCGACGGCTGGGGAGCGAGGCGGGGAAGACGCCCGCATGGCCTGGAAGACCCAGCTTGTGGCGCAGGGTGACCCGGCGCGGAACTCGTCGTCGACGGCGGAGCGGCGCCGCAGGGAGGTCGACGCGGCGCCGCGGCACGCGAAGATCGCGCGGTTGGAGGAGCCCGGCATGGCCGCGGCCGCCGCTATGCCGTCCATGTCCGGGCGGAGCACCACGTCCTGGTTCGCCATGGCGCACGCAAACAACCACACGTGTGCTCACGACACGCGCCTCCCGCTGCGTGAGAGTGGTGCCCAGTAGTGACAGTGGGGAATAGTTCACCGAGGACGAGGGGACCGGACCGGTTTTTCCTGGGTGAGGAAGCCAATGGCGAAGTGTCGGTACTTATAAAGGCGGAGCGGCGTTGGGTCGGCATCCATACTAGTGGAACTACCGCGTTTTTCTAACCGGAGTGGACATGTGTCGTTTTCTCATTCACAAACGTAGGGTGCACAATTATATGAACAGTTAACATTCTGAAAAATTAATTGACGACTCTAGATTAAGATTCAAGAATAACATTGTTGTTTTTGTCCTGCAAAATACTTTCAAGTTATATGTACACCCTTTTACTATATTCATATAGAAGTTCAAATCAAAGTGGTGCTATGGAGGCTGTGGAAATTCAAATATTCATTTTCTTGGATGAAATGTGGGGCCATTTCTCGATCACATATAGCCCTCTGTTGCAAGGGAGAAAATCGACTCGAAGAATCAGGCTAGCCATAGTGGGGGTAACATAACTGGTATCATGCACTTGAGGCTCACAAGCATGTTTATGTGACAGACAATTAAAAAAGAAAAAGAGGGTTATAGTAACATAGCTAGATACCATATCATAAGGCCCTCCCCAATGCTTCACCTTGTACAAGCGCTAAGGCTGCCATGTAGACAAAAAATATGATGTGGCAAGGTAATAAAGAGGAGAGGTGTGAGTTTGATGACCCCAGGAAGAACCAATGCCAAAGAAACCCACCAATGCATGCAATAGTTTAGTTGCTAAAGCATTAAATGAGGCGAACTTAGTACCAACAAGTGAAGCACCTATGCATTATGGACATTAGTTGCTAAACTTTTTAATATGCTTAGCACCTTATCTAAGCACCTATGTGTTGGAAGTGGCCTAATAAATGTTATACTACTATGTGTCTTGCATGGCAATAAACGAGACCACCTATGAGGAAATCCGTTGCTGCTCCCGGGAGCGCGCTCCTGCACACGGAAAAAATATTTCAAAGTGTGAAAAAATTCTAAACAAAAATTTGACGCATACATCTTGACATTATATGTGTGCACGTCAAGTTTCGGAGAAAACCATCATTTTTGGTGGCTTGTGTAACAAAGACAAAAGGACGTCTTGTGAAAATCTTTTTTTAACACCGGATTTTGTCTTTTTCACACGTGACACATAAGTCATTGGTTTTTCGTGAAACGACTTTCTGAGCATGTACAATATCGAGATGTATGTGCTAAGTTTTTGCTTGGAATTTTTGCCATTTCAAAATATGTCTAAAACACATTTTAAAAATCAGGAGCGCGCTCTCTCATGTGCCAAAATGCCACTCTCACCACCTATGATACTAATCTAATGATATTATGCACTATGGATGTAGTATCATACACTACTGTCATATGCATGATACAAGTATATGTTACTCCTAGCCTCAGAGGGACTCTGGTGGAAGAAGATCCAATGTCAAGAGAAAAATAAATACTAGAAGAAAAGATAAGATCAAATACAGTTAAAGGAGAAAGCAATTGATCAGTGGGTGTTGGTGCAATATCTGCCTACCCTATGTTTTGGAGATTGTTGACAGAAACAGGTACAGACTGATTTGTTTGCTAGTGCATACAGAGAGAAATAGTCCATACACAAACGAAGAGAATGCTATCTCCGGTGCTAAGTTCGAGGAACTTCACCGAAGTATATCTGCGTTGCTGAGGAGAATGAGCTATTCTTGTTAGTCATATAGTCGAGAAGATTGATGTGAAGAAATCGATCCCTCGAAAAATTTACTGCTGAAGCAAAGCTTTTGTTCGGTATGGTCGTCGAAGAAATTGACTGCAACAATGGAAGTCGAAGAAAAATTGAAGATGTAGTATTCTTTTGTTGTTCTTCTTTCATTCTTTTGAGTCATAGGACCTCCATACTATTAAGAGGGGTATAGGTTCTCGATGCATAGATCCGTTGTGATGCTTAGCCCAAAACCTATAAAAGTTGCGAGAGAAATCTCTTGGTGCTATGAGCACATACTTGCCAGCAAGAGACTGTGATCTTCTTCGTTGGGAGAGATTTATCTCAGACCGAGGAGTTAGCATTACTTGCTCCGCAAGCAATGTTACCGTTGCACTCAGAAACCGATCGTTGGACTCGTGTCATTCGGCCATTGGCTGATCCCGATGTCCAATTTGGTCATTTCCCATCTGGGAAGGGTGCGGCTATATATAGCCACCCCGCTCCAACATTGTCCGTTGGCTGCTCCGCCTGATATTTCCGAGAAGATTTATTTGAGCAACCCCTCTTTGAGTGATTTGAGTTTAAGATCCACCGAGAGAAAAATCGAGAGCCCAAACTTAGACAATGGTTTAGCATCACAGTAGTTCTGAGTGAGAGTTCTTGCACCAGTTACTCTTGAGAGCTGTGCACTCTCCAGACGGATAGGTTTTGGCTCAAGTGTCGAAGAGTATTGTCTTCACCGAGCTAGATCTTCAGCAACCAAGAGTGATTGTGGTTTGAGAAGGTCGACCGAAGGTTTGGAGATCGCCGACAAGCATCTACCACAAGTGAAATCAACCTGAGTCTGATCAGCTCTGCATTGAAGGAGAATAGGGTGAAGAGAGTTTATCTTCCATATTAAGTCATAGCCCCTACAACCAGACGTAGCCCTTTAGCAGAAGGGTGAGCTGGTCTACCAAATCTCTCTGTCGCCATTGAGCACCACTGGTTCTATTCTTCCTCACTGCAATAATTTCGACAGTCATTATGTGTGCACTATGATGATAGATATCTGATCTGATCCTCTCTGCTACTTATCTTTCAACTTATCTCTTGCAGAGTTCTTTGTTATTCGTATGCTTAGTTATTGTTCCTCGTAATTTTCCTTCACAGCTCTGCTCTAGTTCATCATTATGCTTTTAGTTCTGATGCCATGTTGTATTATCGTTGTCATCATTAAGCCTGTTGTAGCCTATGCTTGAATCATTATTACTTCTTACCTTGAAGGTTTTGTTCCTCAGTAGTGAGCTCAATTGCACCCTTATCTACGATTCTTTAATTCCACCACCGTGTTTGGGATCAATCCAAAACATTTGAAAGAACTTTTGAATCTCCCATTCACCCCCCTCTAGTCTATATATTCCTGGTCCTAACAATTGGTACCAAAGCAGGCACTTCCTGTCTCTGTTTATTTAAGGTCTAACGTCCTTGGAGTTTGAGAATGTCGTACGCAGGTAGATCCTCACTCTCTGAAAGGTTTCCCATCTTCGATGGAAATGATTATCTCTACTGGAAGGAACAAATGAGAATGAAAATTCAAGCCATCAACTTAGATCTGTGGAAGATTATAGAAGAAGGATACACTGTTCAGCAACTATATGCTCCAAATTCCGATGACAAAGCTGTGCTATAGTTGGATGCACAAGCAAAAGATATTAGTTGTGCAAGTATCTCAAAATACACATTCATTCGATTCCGGACGCTTGACACTGCTAAGCAACTTTGGGATGCTATCAAAAGTGTTCATGTAGATTACATTGCAAGAATACATCTTCACACTCAAATGCTTCGTGCAATGTTTACTGTTTCCAAGTCTTCGAAAGGAAAGTACTATGGAACTCACCGATCGTCTGAAAAATATTGTTGAATGACTTCATCAACAAGGGGTGACTGTCGTGGACTTGACACGGCAGATGTCCTAGCAGAAGGACTTAGTTGTGGAGCCATCGCAACTAGGTTAGCTTAAAGGGGTTAAATGGGACAAAGGACACATAGAGTTTTTATACTGGTTCGGCCCCTTGCGGTAGGTAAAGGCCTACTCCAGTTTGGGATTGTATTGCTTGGGTATCGATCACTAGGGAGCGAATACGCTTGACCTAGTTCTTGATCTCTTGTTTCTTGCCCCTAACTCACCGCCGGGTCATCCCTTTATATACACAGGTTGATACCCGGTGGCTTACAGAGTCCCGACCGGCTCATACAAAACGTGTCCGGCTCGGTGACTAACTAAACTTGCCTTACAATACAAGTCATACCTATGGCGGTTCATCCTCTTGGACCATAAGTCGCCTCTGAGTCTTGGGCCATCAATGGGCTTGCTATGACCCGCCATTTTCATTGATAAGTCGCCCGTGGTATAACCCGGCCCCTCCTGGGCAGCTCATACCCAGTAGTTATATCCCCAACATTAGGCCCTAGGTTGATTTGAACTTGTTCATATCAATCTTCAATACCCGACTTGTAAAAATCTGCATCACTTGTTGTAACCCGCCATGACGCCAGCTCTCAAAATCTTCTTAAACCGCCATGACATCATTTCACATTAACTTCACATGAGGCCCAGAACATTTTAAGTGATCCTTATCTTAATAAGCATCCCAAAAACCGAGGCGTCCATATAGCCACATGATGATTTCAGCCTCCTCGATTCCCGCGCATGCCATGTATCCACCCCCTTATAAATAGGGACATGGGTTTTTATCATTTCCCCCTCGCTTCCTCCTTCGGCAGCCGCACCAGTACTCGAGTTCCGCCGCCATGACCTCCAAACACTGCATCAACCCAGGCCGCCGCATCGACCTGATTGGACCAGAGAACTCCGGCGCGCCACCGCTACTCCTCATTACTTGTAAATGCACCTCACCCTTTTATCTCAGATCTGTATTAGGGTTCGTGCCGTTCATCGGTGTTCTTGCTGTTCTTCGTTGTTTTCTTCAACTCTGATAGCTTTTAATATGGATAGGCCGTACATCTTGTGCGAAAGTAGATTTACCATCATTTTTATTGTTAGAATAGCATCTCTCTATAGAAGATCACATCAGAGCATTAAAGCTTTCCACTGCCGCCACCTTAGGTTTTAATTTCACTGTCTTTTCGGAATTGCCATAGATTCGAAATTATAGCTTTAGCTTGTGAAATCTGTTTGTCCACCACTTAGCAAAATTTTCACTTGATAGATTCAAAGCACCAAAACTG